TAATTGGGGAATTAATGATGCACTTTAAAAAGTCTTAAAAGCAACAATAAATGCTTTTTGCTCTAATCGAAAACCTAATGGTTTCATGGTTGCTTTTATAATGATAGAACACGTTTATAAAGTATTTTATCAAGACATTAATATACAGTTGCTAATGACGTTTATGCTTGAATTACAGAACAGTTTTAAGGAGGGATTGATAACTGTTTAAATTTATTTTCAAAACAAGACAGTTTTTTACTTTTTTGCCAGACTATAAAAGGTTTTTACAACAGCAAAACCATTATAAATCAGAGTGAATGCTAAATGGTTACTGGATTGTTACTTGGGATGCCACCATGATCGGTAAACGTCATGGTCATGGATAAATGCTGAACAGGAAACAATGTAAGGTTTGCAATAATTCGGTGGTCTACAACAATTGGCAAATTACTCTGTATACTATTTAACAATTCCGTGCTCGGCTACGGAAGTTACAACTACTTCTTCCGTCTTCGACAACAGTATAGTCATACCAACCAGCTTATCATTTTTAGATATTATTTATTTATTTATTTATTTCATCAACCGATGTAGACTAGTACAAATACATATACAAATTTGTTTTTCTTAAGAATATTAAAAAATATATTGTCAGCTATTATATTTTTACTTCCTACGAGTTATGATTCCGTATGGAGTTAAAATATTGTTTTAGTTTATGCCGAGACATTGAAAAGTCAATGGTTTCGCAGTATTGATTGTAAGACGCCATCATGCGATTTAATGGCCCAAATTTTGCATAATTTGTGCGATGATGGGTTACGGCAAATAAATTTCGATTTCTGAGTTGTCGAGTAGGTACATAAAAATTTAATTTTGATAAAAGTTCTGCTGAGTTAATGCGCTGCGAAACGATATCGTTTACAAACGAAACCATTGCATATTCACGACGCTCTTTTAATGTTTGTATGTTTATAAGCATGCAGCGTGCTTCATATGATGGAAGAGGAAATGATGTCCAACCTAATTTACGAAGGGCATATAATAGAAATTGCTTTTGTACTGATTCTAATCTTTCTTCGTGCGTGATTGAAAATGGAGACCATACAATGCTGCAATATTCCAGTATTGACCTCACATAGGCAATATATAGTGTTTTAATTGTGTATGGGTCCTGAAAGTTATAGCAAAAGCGCTTGATAAAGCCTAGCATGTTATTTGCCCTGTGAATAATTGTATTGTAATGGTCTATGAAAGTTAGTTTGGAGTCTAAGATAATCCCTAAATCCCTGACTCTTTCACATTTTTCTACATTCTGATTTCCTAATGCAATTGAAATGTTTGATGGTGTTCTTTTTCTGCTAAATGATATTAAGTTGCATTTTTTTACATTCAGTTCTAATAGGCTTTTTTTACACCATGTGTAGAATATGTGTATTTCACTCTGGAATATATTGATGTCTTCATCATTTTTTATTTCCAAAAAGAGCTTCATGTCGTCGGCATAGATTAGCAATTTTATTTTTTTGAGAATGAAGGAAATGTCGTTTACGTACAGAATAAAAAGAAGAGGTCCCAGATGAGAGCCTTGCGGGACTCCTGAGGTGACTTGAATTGGGGTCGATTTCTTTCCGTTGAATTTAATTATTTGTTGGCGGTTAGTTAAATATGATTCAAGCCATTTCAGGAGTCCTGGCTCAATTCCAATTTTTTTCAATTTGAAAAGAAGCATTGGTATGTCAATTCGGTCAAATGCCTTGCTAAAGTCTGTATAGAGAGCTTCTACGTGGTTTCCATTATCCATTGCATTTAATGAATAGTCTATAAATTCAAGTAAATTTGTCGAGGTCGAACGTCCTTTAAAGAAGCCGTGTTGCATGTCAGTAATTCTATTTTTGGTTTGAAGAAATAATTTTTCATTTACAATTGCCTCGAAAAGCTTTGGAATGCAAGAGATAATGGCTATTCCACGATAATTACGTACGTCAGATTTTCGGCCAGATTTAAAAATAGGTACTAAAAATGAGCTTTTCCATATTTTTGGGAAGGTTCCGGATTCCAGTGACATATTAAAAAGCCAAAACAATGGAGCAGTGAGTTCCATTGCTAGACTTTTTAAAAATACTGGAGGAATTCCGTCAGGTCCAGGACCTTTTGAGGCGTCTAAATTCTTTAAAGCCTGCAAAATATCCTGCACTTGAAGTTGATTGACGCCAATGTCCCTTGAAAATTCTGGATGAAATGCAAAATAATCGCGGTCGCGATCTTCATCGGAAAATGTCGTATAGATTTCTTGAAAAAAAATTGCAAAAAGCTTACAATTTTTTTTCCGAGCTATCCCCGACACGTTCGTCAAGATGCATTATTGATGGAAAATTGTCAGATTTTAATTTGGTTTTTACGTAATTAAAGAAGTTCTTTGGGCAGGACTTTATTTCAAGTTCAGTTTTTGAATTAAATTCTTCAAATGCATTACTGATGGCTAAATCTAGTTGATCGCATAAGTCCAAATAGATAGCCAAATTTTCACTATTATTGTGTTTTTTGTAATGTTTATGTGCTTTCTGTTTTCGATTTTTTAAGTTTTTTATTTGTCTGTTATACCAGACTGGATTTTTTGTGCTTCTGTAGCGTCTTTTTTTCTTCAAAGGTATTTCTTCCAAAATTATTCCTGATAAAATTTGGTAGAAGATGTCTACAGCAATTTCGACATTTCCTTCATTCCTTAGAATTATTTGCCAATTGACGCTGTTTAATTTAAGTTTGATTTTTTCGTAGTCTGCTAATTTGTATTCAAAGACTTCCTCGTATTCGCAGTCGTTGGGTCTTTGGTATTCGTGTACAAATAAAGAATATTCAATTGCTGTGTGAAACGCTTCGTTTTTCCACAATGGGTTTAATGATTCGGTCACACAGAAATCTTCATAAATATTCGTTAGTAAAAAGTCCAAATAGCAATTTTGTTGATTTTTGATGTGGTTAATTTGGTTCAGTCCTAAATTAGCAGTTTTGTCAAAAATGAACTGCAATGTTTCATTATCCCCAACGACTGGGAGTAAGATACATTCATTTTCAGAGTCCAGAATGAAGTCAGCATGGCGTTGATTAAAGTCTCCATAGATGTGAACTTTAACCTCAGGAGGAAGCTTAGATAGAATTTGTTCAGCACTTTGGAAGAAGGCTTCATAAGTGCTTTTATGAGCATGGTCTGGTGGAAAATACACTGAGGCGAACACGTGCGTTTCACCGGCAATGTGTGATTTCACCCAAATATGCTCAAATTCTGTAAATTTTGGTGTAAAGATAATTTCTGAGTTAAAATTGGCCGAAAGAGCTATAAGGACTCCACCGCCTGACTTCTTCTGAGTTGCATGAAAATTTCTGTCGTCTCTGTATACATTAAAAGCATTTCCAAAGATTTCTTCACTTTTCACGCTTTCGTCCCAGCTTGTTTCAGTTGCCAGAATGACCGAGAAGGATGAGCATAATAAATTTTGATAGATTTCCTTCATTTTAGCTGGGCTTTTCATGCGATTGAAATTTTGACAGTAAATCAAAATTTCAGTCGCATTCTGTTTATGTGAAGAGATTTTTGGAAGTACGGCGGACCAGCAAATTGTACTTTCGCTGTGGCCAGTAGTTGCTTGTCCGATCCCTTGGCGCGGCTGTATTCATTTCCTTGGATGATGATTATGGTATTTCTAAGAATCTACACAGAGTCCAATTTTAAAATATGGCACATCCTTGGAATGTTCTCAATTCTTGTCCGGGATTTTTTATTTCAAATTCGAACCTATTATATCTAATGACCATCCGTTATTCGTAACCTACCACCCGGTTTGTAGCTGGCAGTAAAGCTCCGTTGAGTATTTACTCAAGATCATCGGCACCTATAATTTCAACCGAAAATCGAAGCTTGATCATTTCTCATTTCAATACAATCGAATGCTTGATCATTTCTCAAAAGTGATGGATTAGTATGACATGCCCTAAACTAAGGACGCGGAGTATGCCAAAATAATTCAAACTGCTGGTCACAGCAGATGTACGTTCCGAACTAATTCAGTTATTGTCGAATTATTGCTTACCCAGGAGATTCGTAAATTATTGTGTTTCAATTTAACTATGACCCGTTATGATACCATGGAAAGTAATCAGCCTGACTGTTACATCAACAACTTCACTAAGGTACAAACCTATATGGTATGTGCTCCAGTTTTGGTCATAGATTCAGGTTTTAGCCATACCTAAGAAAAAACGATTAAATAACAATATTTGTGCTTTTTGTGGGCTATATGTATTGTGGGTAACCGAAATCCGTACACCACCGTAATCCGTACGCTCAAAAAAGTAAGCGTTTTGTATGAAATGTACAAATTTTGATTAATAAGTTTGAATCAGCAATCTAAACACAACTTAAGATTTCAAATTCCTCCTTCTTTTTTGCTTATTCTGTTTTTGGACTATAAATTTCACTAGCGCTACTCACGTTCCAGCAGCAGTGCCAAGCAGTGGAAAAAAAACAGCAGTTCTTATTCAAATTACTGTTCAAGAGAAACGAAGTAATCATGTCAACCGTTTCCAATCTTCGCCGAAGCTTCTATCTACATTGAAAGCACAATAACACCACCACCATCTGCCACAAAGTCAACTGACGAAAATTGTCCGGTCATAATCCTCCCATTTATCTACCCATCAATCGGTCGATAAACGAGCCTCTTTTGCAAACGGTCAAAAAGCTTTTTAATAGTAAAAACAAACAGAACAGGAAAATTGTAGGAAAAAGATACCGTAAAATGATTACCAGTGACAGACATTTCTACTTTCCTACTGCTGACGGTACACCATTAACGTTTACGGAAAGCCGTATCACTCTCCTCCAAGAAGCGAAGAACGCTGCCATTCTCACATCTACTATTCACTAAGCCACTTCGAAGCATTTCATTTATTCGATCAAACGTAATTACATTTCCTTTTCGTGTCTTCCCATTTCATTTCCTAACCTTCTTTTTTTAAAGGTATCGTTAAGCATATCCATCCTGCTCTCGTTGACTGTGTTCTTCTTGCTGTTGGCGGAAATCATTCCACCGACGTCGCTGGTGGTGCCGCTACTGGGGAAGTTCGTGCTTTTCACCATGATCCTCGATACATTCAGGTAAGCCGATTTTCCCCTCAATTTCCCATCCACACAGACCAAAGGTAGATTTCAGCCTCACAGCCCCAACACTGGCGACCAGGATGCGAATGTGCACACAACATAATTAATTTTATTTTACGCCTAATTGAATTTCCTCCCCTAACATTCCACCGGTAACTGCACATCGAAGTACCTACACCACACTTTGCGAGGTGTGACCCTGAAACACCTGCGTTAAATCGCTTTAGATGGCGTAAATTAATGCGTTTTTTGTTCTGCCTCTCCCTCGCCAATAGCATATGTGTCACCGTGATTGTGCTCAACATTCACTTCCGATCGCCTCAAACGCACACGATGGCACCGTGGGTCCGAACAATCTTCATCAACCATCTGCCGAAGCTGCTGGTGATGCGTCGTCCCATCTACCAGCCACTGCACCATTTTAGGTGAGTTTTGTATAATTTTTACCGTTTGTTGATTTTCTATCACAATTTTCCAATTTTATGTTCAAGTAAATTTATATTTTCAAGCAAGAGCGTCTCACTCACGAATCGATTTCTTTACATAATTGAATTACTTTCGACAAACAATTAAGAGCCTGTGAGATTGTATCAGGCCTCACACAAAATATTTCGTTGAGCCCAAAAATCAATCAAATTTAATTATTATAGAGTTTCGACTATTCAGTATGGCTCAACGATGCAATTAGTTATGGCAGCTTTAAATATTACAGTAAATTAGTTAAAGAGAATGGTCTACAGATAATCCAGCCGGGATTTAATAAGTTGCTGAAAATCTGATCCTAAAAAATAGAATACGCATACGTAGGAATATACTCGAAGAGGGCTACGAGAATACCGGATTTAAGGAAAAGATATTTAAAATTTGCAATATTAGTTAGTAGTTCCCCAGAAAAGGTCAAAAATAGGTGGAACAGTACCAATTAAAATTATGCTCTTGATCTTAGGATGTGGGATGTAAGTTAGTTAGTTATAGGAATTATTCTCTACTAAACAAAGCAAATACCAATTTTGCTTAAAATAATATGATAAATTCGCCATTTTCCCAATTAACTTTTTTTTTTTTTTTTTTATTATAGTCACTTTAACACTCTTGGGTCATTCGTGACTTGTCCGGGGGTGAGATTTGAACTCGTGACTTTGGCGTGAGAGGTATGGATGTTAACCACTACGCCGGGGTCGCCCCCTCCCAATTAACTCAAAACGATGGAATCTTAGATGAAATGGTACGAAATATTACAAGGTTGTCATAAAGATCGCTTATCAAATAAAACATAAAATGTGGTTAGTTCGCCAGATTAAATCAACAAATCAATGTAGCGATTAGACAAAAGATCGACGGACAAATGATAGAATGTTCGAAAATGGTCAAATAAAACATAAAAGAACAAAAAGTCTAATTGACAAATGCTCGGTGAAAATGAACAAAAGATCGCAACAGACACAGAGTCAAAATTAATAAAACAGTTTGAGGATAAACGGTGAAATGTCGAAGGGAAAGCAAGTCGAATTACTTTAAGTAGAACAGCTCGCAGGGACGAAAGGTTGAAAAAGCAATATAATGAGTAAAGCAAGTACATCGTGCATAGACTATGAGCAATCTAACTGAATAACTCTATAGTCATTTATTTCAATTGGATGAGACAGATTCACTTCAATGTCCAAACAAGTAACGCGTACAGTTGAATAATCGATATAATTCTGGGTTTGACTATTTGGATCTGTATGAAGTTTAAAATAGTTGTGTTTAACTCGATATGCAATAGCTATTTATGCAACAAGTTGCAAAAAGAAGATAGTTTCAGCACGAGTCGTGGTTTATCCAATGCATATTGCCAATTCAGAGAAAAATTAGCATTTGGCGTCAGATTATCAGCTTTAATAGCATGCTGTGGTTGTCAGTTGCGTCGAGTTATTTTCCCTGAAACGGCAATATGTATAACATTATTTTGCAGTAGTATTTTTCGAAACTGTTATTTTAGCTATGAAAAGTAGGCCATTATGTTATTCAAAACAGTGTCGAAAAGTAGCACTTTTCAGTAATGAGTGCTAAAAAGTATTTTAGTAAACTTGGAATCTCTTAATTAAATGCTAGTCGGACTAGCCCAGTCATTTTATTTCCAGTATACACTACAAGTTTCGCTGCTGTGAGATGACAATGTGACGTAAATCAATTTATTGAATTGTTCGTAAAATAGATATTTGTGATTAACCAAGCAATTATTTCGAAAATATGCTAAAATATGATCTAAACAAAGCTAAAAATATGAACCTTGATGTTTAAAACAGCTTTTAATTGTTCAACACTTAGTGGATGTCATTTTTGTGAAGAAACAGTGAAAATTTTCACTATTTCTCCAGAAACGTATGGCTTACATCACTTTGTCTATAAGTTTCTAAATAAAATTTTACATAACTGTGAAATGTTTTTGGGTCTCATAGAGGATGAAAAACTTGACCATTGACATTGACCAATTGACCGTTTACGTCACTTTGTCATCTCACGGCAGCAGAGCTCCTGGTTTGCCTGTCATTTATCCTGTTCATGAGCTCTGATGTGATTTGATATGTCACATGATGGGCTTTGGTCATTACCAGAAACTGGCCACTTCCAAGGGGGTGCCCGCAATATGGCCGGATGTAGCCAATGTGGCCCTGTATCTTGTTTTTGAATTCTGACGTAATTTGATGTGCCTAGTCATGAAATGGCACTTCCAAAGGGGTAACCGGAAAATGGCCAGATGTGACCAATGTAAGCACTTGATTTGGCTTTCAGTGATCTTGTTTCTAACAATTTTTGGATATTTCCGTATCACAGATACATTTTCAAAACCTGACTGCTGATTACTCCGATATTCCATATTTATTGATATAATTTTGGGCATGACTGGGTGAATCTTTATAAAGTTTGGGCAATTTTGTAGAAGCACCTCACCTCCTTTTATAAACTATACTCCCTTAAGCATAATGCAGCTCATTTTAAGACTTTTACCTCAATTTTAACTAAAATCGGTTCACCACCAAAAACTCTACAACAGCTCATTTATTTGTGAGCTATTTTTCCAAATAAATTTTTTACATCTCGTCTTGATGTGCTGCTATTTTTAATACATTGCGCATTATTTCAATAATTTATGCGTAAAAATAAAATTAAAATACGTTATTAACAGCTGTGCTGCACACTGTCCGAAAAATGCGCATTGAATTCAAATGGTTCTTTAATAAAGTTACAAAAAAATCAACTGGCCACGGTTCAGCACCAAACAGTTGCAAGATTGCAAATATAGCGGCGCACGCGGTGTAGTGGTAAGCATGATTGCCTCTACAAAGGGCCTGGATTCTACCGTCGGGATTTTTTAAGGCATAAAAATCAAATGTTTTACTTGTATATTACAAGAAAAGGTTGGTAAGCATAAGTTTGGTACATAAAACCTGTCAATTTCGCTTTCTAAGATCATTTATCATTGCTATTTTATCATTTTACCCTTAATCACTCAGCGATTATGAAATTAAACATCTACTTTTCAATTTTTTCTTGTAACTTACAAGTAAATGTTGTGATCATAACGGCTTAATTTCATTAGATCTAAAAACATGATTTTATGTGAAATGAGCATTTGCAACCATGGTTCGTAGAATGATAAATCAATTCGAAACAAAATACGACGTGATCCTCAAGCTTTTTTGCACTAAACATAGTGTTCGAATCATATGATCTACAGATCAAGAACGGTAATGACAATGTCTTTTACAATGCAATGCAATTAAAGGTTGTCCAAACATTTCTAGAAAACATGTTGTTCTCTTGAGTGTAGCTCGGGATAAATAAATTTCCAGTTCTTTTATAGCATGGTTTAATAGTTGCAACTGTTTATGGTGAATCAATTTCAACGTGGACACCCTTTACCTTTTACGAACATCTTGGATAAAAAATAATCTTAGTTCTCCAAATCGTCCTGGAGCTCAGATCATTCAAAACAATAATTAAACCACGACTGATAAAACGTCCATAGTAGCGAAACATAGTGGATTGAACGATCGAAGCCGAGAAATATTTGAATAACTAAGATCACTTATATAGGGAAAATGGCTCTCATGTTGGAATATGGATCTAAAGATTGGGCCCTTCTTTAAAAAATCTACTGTTCTTCAATTTTTCTTGGATTAATGCACACCTGAACAGTGCACAAATTGATATTGTTGATGGCTAGTTAACATCAGGGCGTCACAATATCGGCTTCAATCAACAATGTTGATGCGACAAAGAGACTGCTAGTTTTATTTTTCTGTTGAAGTCGAGCAGCTTCACAGCGTTCCAGCAGCTCAGTCGATGTCTACTAACTAATTTTCAATCGTTAGTCTCTCTTTCTTCCGTTGTTTCATTCATCTTTCTGTGGAAGTGGACGAGTGAAAGAGCGCTCGACTTTGATAGTTTCTTCTTTCATGAAACACATCAACCGAAATTTTATGACGTATATGACTGAAAATGAAAATATATATGGGACATTCCAGCTCAAGCGGGCATAGAATTTAAAAAAAAATTGTTGTTGATGCCAAACTTGGCCAAAACGCTTATTTTGGCATTCTGCGAAAACGCCATTTTTATTTTGCTCTAAAATGCCTAGATCCTTCTCGGCTAAAACCCTGGATTTTAAAAATTTCAACTTTCAGAAGAGATTATTCAACAACCAAATAAACTATTCGTGATCATAAAACGTCAATTTGAAGGTTTTTTAACGTAGAAAAAGAACATGACAGTTACGGCAATAATGTGTTTTCAAAAAACTGGAAAATAAAGGTTCAACGTTTATTTTTCTTCATTACTATAATAAAAAATCATTTTTGCAACAAATTATTGCGACATCGGTGTGAAGGGATTCAAGGAAAAATAAAACAATATTAAATATCATTGATTTTCACCAGAAAAGCTCAAAACTACCACTCACTCATCTGATCATATCTCCAAAACTATTTGTCCAAATCATTTGCCCTTGAAAACACATGTAGGGATCCTTGATTTTGTGTGAATAACACTGATCGAAATACGTATCTGTCATCGATACCAAAACAAATTAATTTGTCGTCAATCAGTGTAGACCGTTTTACAAGTTTACTTAAATTAAAATTAAGTGGAATTAAATGGAATATATACCTTTTTGCTGTTTTATTTAAGCATTTCACTAACAACTTAATTTTATTACTTCATTCTATATTACTATTTTGCTATCAAACCTTTGGGGATTTTCCTTATTAGAGAGTTGCATGAATTTTTCTCCTTTGCTTTACTTAAATCTTTGTTTTTTTTTAGTTTGGTAGGTTCTGATTCTACACATTGTATTTTCATTTTTATTCCAGTGATCTTGAACTTTTTTACCTAGGGGATGAGTACTTAAGGGGGTCAGATTTTGATAGGTCTTTAGTGGGAATGACACTGATGAAGACTGCAGATTGTAGTCGAAATACGTATCTGTCATGGATACCAAAATTAATTAAGCAGTAGTAATGTTCCTGTTTTATGTCTTATCAGCATTTTCGTATGGACTCCTGCCGGTAGTTATATATACTAGTGCTGGAACTCGGATTATCCGGATATTTTTATTTTTCCATTTTATTAAATTTTGGCAATTAACAGATTTGCCATTCCACATCAGGCAACATCCCAAATAACAATTTTGGTTTTATGAGGGTTCTGTAGACCATGATTTATACATGTAGAATGCTATAAAACCGCAATAAAACCTGCAATGTTACTTGGGATGGGCACCTAAACAACAGCTTTTTGACAAATATTTAGAACAGCAACAAAGAAAACTGTTAAAGGGAGAATAAATTTTAAATTTCACTATCTGGATATCCGGATAGTTACTATCCGCCTGATAACCATCTCAACGTTTTCTCAATTTATTTTATTTCAATATTGGGCATGATATTCTATATACTGAATATCAATTCAACTATTATTCATTTGTCTGAGAGTAATTTTATTGAAATAAATTGAAGTATCCGGATAGTTGAAGTCCCAGCTCTAATATATACATGGTCGCCACCGACGTACAAATGTTAGGGCTTGGTAGCTTTGAATATGAGAATATATAATGATTTTTCGATGTTGCTCGATTATTCAAACACTACGGCGCTTATCCTCATTTATATTATGGTTAAAGCGGAAAAAATTTCCGCATCTACTTTTTTCCCCATATTGGAGAAAATCTATGAGTACCACGGAAAGGGCTTGTTATCTGTGAGAAAAATGGTATTTAGAACCAGCAGCGGAAATATATATTGCTTTCAAAGTTATGTATCATAGTCCTATAAACTTGGCTGAATATTTTTTTATGGTGAGATTATTGATAAGACAATACTAGATCAGATATGAGTTTAGAAGATTTTGGATAGACTACGATACCCAAGTTACTACAAGCCCGCTAATTACCCTTCTTTGCAATATTTGTCTGAAATACATCTTACATAATGCTCAGAAACCCTATGGTAACTTTATAGTTTAGGTTTGTAAGATATGCATGGGGCAATAAGAAACATCCGATTTTGATAATTTTGGCAAACATTTAAGGATCTCGTCTGTTTTAATATGATGATTAAATCACATAATACCACTGAAGAAATTCGTTGAAATTTGAGAGAGTTAAAGAAATCGGACATTATTTACTACCACATGCATTTTAACTACCCGGTTTTCCCCTATTACAAAATAGGCAATTAGCGCACAATTAACGGGCTTGCTGGTTACTTCGGTAGACTCATGTGCTTATCAGTTGTACAGATCTTTCCTATAGCTATCTCATCGAAGAAAGATTGATAAATTTGCTAGTTTTATGGAAAATAATTCTAAATTTCACGTCGAAGATTCATGAGGTTTTGGAGCTATAAGCCATAAGTTAGTCCATTCATATTTTTCATGGATCAGTAACACCAAAAAGTAAAACTTTGCTAAATAAATGTAGTTATCGATCATCTGATCATTTTTCATAGTAAATTATAGGAGGTAGACATACATGACCACGAGGTTTCGAAAGGGTAAACTGGGTAAAGGGTAAACATTTTCTCAAATATATCTCAGCTTTAGCCCTCATTGAAATACTCATTTCCCACAGTTACCGAAATCGGGAGCATCAAGAAATGTTTACACACTAATTATGCCCTATTATTTAGTTAAGTCGGAAAGACTACAATCAGATCAAGAAAAGCTAAATAATATTGAGTTAACCACTATATTTCTGTTTATATAGTTTTCACCGAGACGCTCTTGAAATCAACGTTTTTCATTTCATCAGTATAATTTGTCATAACTAATACACATCAGTCCTGTTCTAACCAACTCTCTCTCTTTAAGCTGAACATATTGAAGTTTACTTTTATCATACATCAACATCTATTGAACCATAAATTTTACTCTATGCATCACTAGTATTTATCTCCTTCTAACTAAATCTCTATTTATTTCACTTCGTGTCATACATCGTGACAAAATGTGCACGACTTTCACGGTTCCGTTAAAACCACACGTTTCCCCAATGCCAATATTCAACATACTCGGGCATAAATCATAACGCCAACAACACCACCATCAACACATCCTCACTAATCATCGAACAAATGATTATGGCACGACAATCGTCAAATCCATCCTTTGCCTAAATCCCACGGATGCACGGATCTCTTATCCTTTCTCGGACGGTGTTCCGGCCATTCCTCGCATTTCTCCGGTTTGCGGCAACACGTCAAAATGAACAATGACCGTTCCATCCGCAATTTGCACTCGTCCTCTCAATTTCCATTTTCGACGCTCGCTGTCACGCTCACCATCATCAACAACCGCCCAAAAAAAACGGTTTCAAATCGCCGCCGTCGCAGTGCTGCTTCACAAAGATTTATGTTGCGTTCGTGCACTGGAATGGGTGACAACATCCCACCGCTGCCGCCGACGATTGCGTTTGATCCCTCGGTGCTGCTCGATCATCATTTCCTCGATTCCAGCGACAGGTAGGTTTCACCGGAGTCCATACCTCGCACACCATCGGTAGCAAACCCATCTAAGAAAGAAAAACAAAAAAGATTCTGTGTTGATTGTTCGATGTTTGGATTACTGGCTATAGCCTGGCCGCGCTTGATGCCTTCATGCGTTCATCCCTTCGCCTACATGCCTTGTATCGTTCATAATGTTCCTCATTCCCATCCGATGGTATCAATGTTCCCGCTGGGGCACACTGCTCAGCTGCTAAGGATGAAGTTCCGCTGCAAGCCAAGTCGCTGCATGGTCCGAATTGTGATTGTTGCACGACCCTAACCCGTCCCCCTAACGTAAATGTCCTTCTGCTGTACAAATCGAGTAACTCAAGCTTACGTTAATTTTGTGCGATTCCTAATACCTATAATAAAAATAAAATTTTACCGGTACAATCGGTTTTAATAGGAACGCTCAAGTATTTTAAACGTATCACGTGTGTGTGCGTATGTTTGGCTTAACAACGATTTTATATTCTTTAAAAAACAATTCAATTACTTACAAGTCAAGTCAACATTGCAAGATGGAAGTTTGTTTGGGGATTACTATGGCAGCAGTGTAAATTTCACAAATGTCGCTCACTCGCTTGACGGAGATGAACTAACCTACGGATAAAAATGTCCTAAATAAAGAGTAAAAAAAAGCTCACTCGCTAACTTTGATTCTAGTTGTTCAAAAGCTGTTCAAATGTAACGTGTGGTTGCTATGGTAATGATGATAAGTTTTTTTTAGTACGGTTTGTTTGTAAGCGCCAAAAAATATATAAAAATATAAAAAAAAAGATATAAAATAGTTAATTGATAATTGAATATGTGTCTGACAACATTACCAACTTTACTACAACAACGACAGGCTGTTGATTGTTGCCATGGTAACCACATTTAACATTTAGATAGAATACTGACAGCTTGAATCAAAGATTGAACGATAGTAGTAAAGTTCAACAATATCGCATATAGACTGTTCCGTTAACTATAAATACACTTTGTTAATGAATTATATAAAACTAGTGTAAAGGTTTAGGCCACTTTATTTTCAAATTTTGTTTATTATCATATTTTATTTCACACTTTAATTCAATCTGCAGGATTTTATTGAGAGTAACCGAGAAAAGTTATTTCCATGGACACTGCTTTTAAGCTTTTACACATTACCTTCGCCTTCCATTTTTACCACTTTAGACCACACGGATAGAAATCTCCTTATACTTTTTGGCAAATTTCTATTTCTGATTATTCATAAAATGATTTTCGTTACGTGCAGTTTTTCTTGAATTTTTCAACTGTATCCGCTGGTTTAACATGTTTCTTAAGCTTTGCCTTTGTCAAAGCCCAGAAAGTTTCGATAGGGCGAGCCTCAGGGAAATTTGACGAATTCATCTCTTTTGGCACATATGTACACTTAGTTTTTTTTTCTACCGAGCTCGGCTGTGCAAATCTTGGCAAAAAAAAGTTTTACTGAGATCTTAGCAAACATTTCATTTCTTTGCTCAGATTCAGCTAAGCATTTTCGGAGACTGACCAATCAAATGTCACTTTTGCTAAGATCTCAGTTAAACTTATTTTTGCAGAGATTTGCACAGCCGAGCTAGGTAGAAAAAACTAAGTGTGTTTGACTTTATGATTATTGTACCACTCTAGGAAATCCTTTGAATAGTGGTAGGAAGCAAGATCAGGCCATCATACAGGTTTGTCATGCTGCCATGCAGCATTATCATGAGTAGAAATCTGTTTTGCAGACATTCTTTCACGTAAACTTTGCAATTCATTATGTCTGTCGTTGTAAATGGTCGAGAAATTTTTCTACACTGGCATATCGCCTGCCAAATTTATCGTTAGTGTACAGTCAGGAATCCTTATTGCCGGATTCCTTATTGCCGGTATCTCTTATTGCCGGATCCTTATTGCCGGGCTATCCGCGAATAAGGATACCCACAGCTTATGGGATTTTCACTAATGGGGGCTGTAGTGGATTATCTCATTTGTTTCAATACATAAAGCTATACTGTCTTCGACAAAGTTGCTGTACTGGGTTAGCCCAACAAGCCTGTGCCATTGGATTCGGGTTAAATTGAGAACTACGCCGTTAGAGGCGCTTCACTTTTATGTTACTTATGACGGGCGCTATAATATATGGATCAAATTTCCAACATAGAATATTTCGTGATCCTGACCATATAGAAAGTTACTGTCTTCAGCAAAGTTGTTCAGGTGACCAAGTCCTTTCGGATGGTGGCCATATTAGTTCAGAACTCTCTCACTACGCAGCGCTAGTGTGCATGTGCAATTCTTATATAAACTGTATCTCGAGAGCCTGGCCATATAGAAAATTGCTGTTTTCAGCAAAGTTGTGCAGGTGAGCAAGTCCTTTCGGATGATGTTCATATTAGTTCAGAACACGCTCACTACCCGGCGCTAGTGTGAAAGTGAATTTCCTGTATAAGCTGTATCTCGAGCACCTGGCCATATAGAAGGTTACTGTCTTCAGCAAAGTTGTGCAGGTGATCAAGTCCTTTCGGATGATGGTCATATTAGTTCAAAACACGCTCACTACGCGGCGCTAGTGTGCAAGTTTCCTGTATAAGCTGTATCTCGAGAACCTGGCCATATAGAAGGTTACTGTCTTCAGCAAAGTTGTTCAGATGACTAAGTCCTTTCGGATGATTGTCATATTATTTCAGAACTCTCACACTACGCGGCGCTAGTGTACACATGAACTTCCTTAATATGTTATGTCTCCAAAGCTTGTCCATATAAGATGTTGTGCAATGTGAGAACAGGAACCGGAAAAGGGATGACGTGTAGAGGCCGGAAATCGATGTCAGATGCCATTTTGGAATCCAAGATGGCGGCCATCGGTTCAAGAAAAACTGTCAAATACCCTACAATATGGATATTTTTGGAATGGGGACGACGTGTAGAGGCCGGAAATCGATGCCAGACGTCATTTTGGAATCCAAGATGGCGGCCATAGGGTCAAAAAAAACTGTCAAATACCCTATAATACGGGTATTTCCAGAGAGGGAACGACGTGTAGAGGCCAGAAATCGATGCCAGACGCCATTTTGGAATCCAAGATGGCGACCATCTAGTCAAGAAAAACTGTCAAATACCTTACCATATGGGTATTTCCGGATAAGGAACGACGTGTAGAGACCGAAAATCGATGTCAGACGCCATTCTGGAATCCAAGATGGTTGCCATCGGTTCAAGAAAAACTGTAAAATACCCAACAACATGGGTATTTTCGGATAGGAGATGACGTGTAGAGACCGGAAATCGATGTCAGATGCCATTTTGTAATCCAAGATGGCGACCATAGGTTCAAGAAAAACTGTTAAATACCCTACAATATGGATATTTTTGGAAGGAGACGACGTGTAGAGGCCGGAAATAGATGCCAGACGACATTTTGGGATCCAAGATGGTGGTCATCGGGTCAAGAAAAACTGTCAAATACTCTACAATATGAGTATTTCCGGAAAGGAAACGACGTGTAGAGACCGGAAATCGATGCAAGATGCCATTTTGGAATCCAAGATGGTGGCCATCAGTTTAAGAAAAACTGTCAAATACACTACAATGTGAGAATTTCCGAAAATGGACGACATGAATGCCGCCATATTGGATTCCAAAATAGCGTCTGGAATGTATATCTGACCTTTCACGTCGTCCCTTTTCGGAAATTCCTACATTGTAGGATATTTGACAGTTTTTCTTAAAACCGATGGCCGCCATCTTGGTTTTTAAAATGGCGTCTGGCATCGGTTTCCGGCCTCTACACGTCCGGAAATACCCATACTGTAGGGTATTTGACAGTTTTTCTTGACCCGATGGCCGCCATCTTGGATTACAAAATGGCATCTGACATCGATTTCCGGTCTCTACATGTCATCTCCTATCCGAAAATACCCATGTTGTAGGGTATTTGACAGTTTTTTCTTGAACCGATGGCAACCATCTTGGATTCCAGAATGGCGTCTGACATCGATTTCCGGCCTCTACACGTCGTTCCCTATCCGGAAATACCCATATTGTAGGGTATTTGACAGTTTTTCTTGACCCGATGGTCGCTATCTTGGATTCCAAAATGGCGTCTGGCATCGATTTCCGGCCTCTACACGTCGTTCCCTTTCCGGAAATACCCGTATTATAGGGTATTTGACAGTTTTTCTTGACCCGATGGCCGCCATCTTGGATTCCAAAATGACGTCTGGCAACGATTTCCGGCCTCTACACGTCATCCCCTTTCCAAAAATATCCATATTGTACGGTATTTGACAGTTTTTCTTGAACCGATGGCCGCCATCTTGGATTCCAAAATGGCATCTGACATCGATTTCCAGCCTCTACACGTCATCCCTTTTCCGGTTCCTGTTCTCACATTGCACAGCAACATCTTATATGGACAAGCTTTGGAGTCATAACATATTAAGAAAGTTCATGTGCACACTAGCGCCGCGTAGTGTGAGGGTTCTGAAATAATATGACGATCATCCGAAAAGACTTAGTGACCTGAACAACTTTTCTCAAGACAGTAACCTTCTATATGGCCAGGTTCTCGAGATACAGCTTATACAGAAAATTCACTTTCACACTAGCGCCGCGTAGTGAGCGTGTTCTGAACTAATATGAACATCATCCGAAAGGACTTGCTCACCTGTACAACTTTGCTGAAAACAGCAACTTTCTATATGGCCAGGCTCTCGAGATACAGTTTATATAAGAATTGCACATGCACACTAGCGCTGCGTAGTGAGAAAGTTCTGAACTAATATGGCCACCATCCGAAAGGACTTGGTCACGAAATATTCTATGTTGGAAATTTGATCCATATATTATAGCGCCCGTCATAAGTAACATAAAAGTGAAGCGCCTCTAACGGCGTAGTTCTCAATTTAACCCGAATCCAATGGCACAGGCTTGTTGGGCTAACCCAGTACAGCAACTTTGTCGAAGACAGTATAGCTTTATGTATT